AGAGCTCACATCTTGAACCACAAGTGTGAGGCAGAGAGAGAGAGAGAGAGAGAGAGGGAGGGAGGGAGGGAGGGAGGGAGGGAGGGAGGGAGGGAGGGAGGGAGGGAGGGAGGGAGGGAGGGAGAAGGAAGAGACGGTAGACAGACAGACAGACAGACAGACAGACAGACACACACACACACACACACACACATACACACAGAGGGAATGGAGAATGGCATAGGCTTTTGAAACCTCACCATACCTCCTAATTTTTCCCAAACAATTCTACCTACTGGGAACCAAGTATTCAAATATAAGAGCCTATGGGGTCCATTGTCATCCAGAGCACCACAGGCAGCCTCCTTTGGTCCCCCAGAGAGTCATCTGATGTTGTTAGCTTTTAAAGCTAATGGACAAGGTAGGCATTGGTTTATGAGTGCCTGACTCAGTCATTGCCCAGGGACACCAAGGTCATAGACCTTTAGGTCTAAAAGGATCAGATATTGGTGGCATAGTTCAAGGAAGACATAGGTTTATCTTTCCAAAGGGTCTGTTGAGCCCTTCCATGATTAGTTGATTCTGTGAGTTTTCTTGTGGTGTCTTTGATCCCTCTGATTCCTACAATCCTTCCTCCCTCTCTAGTCCACAGGATTCCCCAAGCTCTGACTAATGTTCGATTGGGTCTCTGCATCTGCTCCCATCGGTTGCTGGTGAAGCCTTTCTGCTGATGGTTATGCTAGGCTCTGGTCTACAGATGCAGTTGTTTTTTGAACAACAAATAGTAAATAGTAAGCAGACCCATGGTAAAGTAATCAAACAATAGAAAGAGCTGCTACATTAGAAAAAAAATCTTGAAAACAAACAAAAACCTTCCTTCTGTCTTTATCAGCAGCCCTGTTCCCCAAAAGGGACTGTGGCTCTGAGTGTCCTGTGTAGCCGTTCAGCGTGTGCATACTCCTATGGATGGAGTCCTCCTCCTCCTTTTGCCCAGCTGAACGCACAGATGCTCCCTGCCGGTTGGCTTCTGTGGAAGCTGATGGCTTAGGCTCTGTGGTTCCCAGCTGTTGAGCCTTTCCTCTGCCCATAGGTAAATGAGAAGGAGCCAGCAACTTCCAGTAGTGTAGTTATGGATAGATCCTTCCAGTTATCACCTGGGAGTTTGGGGTTATCCATGTCAGCGCTCTCCCTAAGCCTGTCTTCGACAGATTGATTCTGTTCACAGAAGATCCCAAGACACATTTGCTAGTGTTCTCTGGGCCAGAGGATCTGAGAGAGGTTTTGTTTTGTTGTCAGCTAGCAAGCTATCTCCTGGATAGGCCTGTGCTAGGCCCTTCCCTGTAAGTGACCCTGAATGTCACACAGAGAGCTCATCTGTCCTTCCCTTTAGCCCTGACAGCCCCTTGATGAGACGTAGAAAAGAGGGGCCATAGTATCTGCTCTGTTCATCATAAACTCTGGAGCATCGGAGGCTTAGGGTCTCTGGGGTCCCTAAAAGCAGACCCTGGGGAGCCCAAGGGTGACTCAGTGGAGACTTAGGTCAGAGGTGAGCTGAGACTTTGAGGACTGTTCATTCCTCCAGGTATAGAGCCATGCTAGACTTCAGTGACGTTTCCCATTGCGTAAATTCCTCCCTGAGTTTCACATTCCCAAGTGCTGGTGAATTTTAAGTGTCCAGTTCTCAATGCTTCAGTAATCCAGTGGCGCTAAGTATGTGAGTTGGTATTGCATGTAACCCAGTTGAGGAAAGCCTGCAGACTTCCCAGAATAACAAAAGTACTAGCAGCAGAGGAGCTGTTAAGGCTTGACTTCTCGTGGATGTTGTTCACAGAAGAAGGCAATAGAATTTGCATGAATGTTCACTGATGTCTGTGTTAGGTTTTGTTTGTTTGCTTGCTTTAATTTCAATTTTGAATGGAAAAATCTATAACCTTTCTAAAAAAAAGTTTCCCCTGAACTGATCCAAATATGCAAACACTTGTGTTCACTATTGATATTTATAAATTAAGTTTTTAATTATTTAAATCCCTCATCAAAATATGAGTATTGTGTGTTATTGAAAAATACAGTGATCAGTAAACCTGAAAAATGCCCAATTTAGACTGGGCGTATGGTGGTACTTAGAAGACAGAGGCAGATGGAGCGATGGAGCTCGGTGATATTGAGGTCAACCTGGTTTACATAATGAGCTTCAGGCCAGCCAGGGCAATACAGTGAGACCGTATCTGGGGGGGGGGGGGTAGAAAGGAGGAGAGGGAGGGAGGAAGAGAGAGACAGAGACAGAGACATTGAGACAGAGAGACATTCAGAGAGCCCAACTATATTAACAATAAATTTAAAAGGCTTCAGTTTTGTCTCTTGACAAAGGTGGATGTGAACTTGAGCCTGACCATGTAATTCCCACCCAGTAAGCCTCTGAGGTCCAAGGAGACATGGAATGAGTAATTAATGTGGATGGACATAGCGGGATGAGACTTCCCAGTCAAGCTGATGGTTTTTTTTTCTGTTCCATTTTGTCATTTCTGAGACAGATTCCTACTCCATAGCCCAGATGGCCTTGAACTTTTAGTGATCCTCCTGCCTCTTCATCCCTAGTGTGGGGTTATAAATATGTGTCACCATGCCTGGCTGCCAGCAGTTTACGTGGCCCCTGGTTCAGAGGGTGAAGGGAGTTGGAGGTAATCACACAGGGAGCCTCACTGATAGAGATCTTTGTGATGGTGATCTAGAAATGGCAGAAACTTAAAGGTGAACTCTGATCAAATAATCTCAGTTATAGATAGCATGCAGGGGTGTGAAGACAGTGTCCGAAGCTGGTCCTTGTAGCTTCCTTAATGTCCAGCCACTAGAGAGAATTTTAAGGTTCCTTCAGTGGGGGCTGAAGTCAGTGAGCTGTGCTTTATTCTTTGATATTGGCATCAGGCTGTCATCTTTATGGCTGTATGCACATATACACATATATCTGTGTATGTGTGTATATATAATATACACATAATGTATATATATACACACACACATTCGCTTCCAGTGTGTCTTTAGTGAAGGAAGCCTCTGTTCTTCCCACCAGTCTTGTTTTACGAGGGAAGTGGTTATTCCTGGGATTGTGACTTATTTTCAATGCAGCAGAGCCTTGCTTTCTCTCTACCAGTTCGAGCATCCACTTGTCCAAATGTGTCTTCTATTTCCCCCACAGAGGCAGCTTCGGAAGTACAGTGCACACATATCCTTCCTCTACCCTCTGCCTGTTCCTGTTGGGCTCTTGTGGCTTCTGGTCTCTGTTGGACCGTGTGGAGGGCACCTTTTAACATTCCATTGGTTTTTAGTGGTAAAGAAGTGCCGGTTCAGAGTGCATTTGTTTGCCAACGAGGACCCAGTCCCTCCTGAATAAAATATGGAACAAATTTGGGGTTTTAAAACATACCGAGCACAGCCTGTACTTTTTGGGTTCCTTCTTTCCCCACAGAAGGTAGGCCACAGTTGGACATTTGCAAGCCGTGCCAGGTGTGTCCAACCCTTTGACATTGCATGGTGTTGCTGACACAATTCATAATTGAGAATGGTACAATTGAGTTACCCAAAACAAGACAAAACATGATCTTGATGTTTAAGAAAGTTTATGATTTTATGTTGGACCATCCATAGCCATCCTTGGATAGAGCTACATGTGGCTTCTGGGCTATAGGCCAGACACATGTATGAGTGTGCAGTATCTTTTTCTCCTCTCTAGATTGTCATTCTGATGAGACGGATGTTTTCCTGGAAACTCAAAGCTGCCTTTCAGTGAGCAAAGACCAGCCTGCAAGGCTTTTGTGCCTTCCCTATGCTGCGTAGTCTCTGGCCTCTGAGCAGCAGCCTGGAGTTTCCACATCCTTGTTCTGCATGGGGCAGTTTTAATCAGCTATGGAGGCAGCTGTTGAAGAGTGCTAACAAGATGGGTTAGAGCAGGGAACTGGAGGATGGGGAAGGGCCTGATGCTGATCTGACTGTTGGGCTCCATGATAAGCACTGAGTGTCAGTCTGGTCAGGTCAAACCCCAGTGCCCTGCTGGAGAGGCCAGAGGACAGCGTGCCTTCAGCAGTGTGGACTGGGATTCTAGGCTTGAATCTAGGCCTCCCCTCACCTCTTGTTGGCCCACCCTGGGCCTTGAGTGCCCACCCCTAGAGGTCAGGGGAATCTACTGTATGATTCCTTTAAGTGACAAAATCTGGGCTGGAGTAATTCTTTTTCTTTTTCTCCCCTCTGAGACAAGATCCCTGTAGCCCCACATTGACCCCAAATTTGTGCCCCTGTATGTTAGTTACTGGGAATTGAACTCAGAGTCTTGCACAGGCTAGGCAAATGCTTTTCCTCTGAGCCGTCTTTTTATTGGGTCTCCTAAAGACGCCTGGTTTGGTCTTGAACTCACTGTGTAGCCCATACTGCCCTTGAGCTTAGGACACCCTTCCTCAACCTCTAGCTAGAATTTCAGTCCTGCCCTGGGCTGTCTCAGTCTTCAGAATAAAAGATATTTGGAACATAGAAAATTATTTTATAAGTATGATGAGATCATCGCTCTGTAGCTCGTGATGTGACTGTACAGGGCAGGGGTTAAGACCCTGTTCCCTGGAGAAGTGAGGCAGGGATCACAGGGAGCTTGTGAGAAAGCAGCCAGCCAGCCTTGTTTCCCTGGTTCTCAGACTCCACTGCAATGGTTCTCAACCATCCTCATACCTTGACCTTTCAATACAGCTCCTCATGTGCTGACCCCCAACCATAAAATTATTTCATTGCTACTTCATAATTGTAATTTTGCTACTGTTATAGACTGTAATGAAAATATCTGTGCTTTCTGATGCCCTTAGGTGACGCCTGTGAAAGGGTCCTTTGGGTGGTGGCACTAAATGTTGTTAGACCAAATTCTAGAAGAGAGTTGTCATGGGGAAAGGGATCCCAGCTTCCCTGTGGTTTTAAGTACTCAGATCAGCATGTGGTATGTTTCCCTTTTGTTACAACTTTACATTTCTTGTTGTTTTCTCTTGCAGCAGTGGCTTTCTTGAAGAGTTCTAAGAGACTCCAAACTTGCAAGATACGAAGTTGACTAGGGAATATTTTTATGTCTTTTATACAGTTTCTATTATGAAGTCAGTGGACTCGTGGCTCAAACCCAAAAGGGAATATTTTTGCTACGCTGAACACAGAATTCAGTTTGGTTTGAAAGAAGTTGTGGGATTAAAAGTCTGATGAAAAATTTAGTTCAATTTCCCTGCGGGAAAGAGCTCATGTTATTTGTACTTGTGGACCATCCCTACCCACCCACCATGGTTCCCAGTTGCCCATTCCCGGATGTTCTGTACACAGGCAGCTCCTCCCTTGGAATCGCAATCTTAGGAACAATGGAGCCGTTCACAGCCTGAGCTTATGCTGGTGCGTTCATGTCTGTTACCCAAGCCGGATTCCATTTGATAGTTGTTACAAGATCTTCGTACACACAGTAGGCTGTGACAGAAGACTCGTTCTGGAAAAGGTCCTTGGAAACATCTAGTGATCCTCCAGGGGATCATGGAATCAGATGGAAACCACAGACATTGGACCAAGATTTCAGCACTGACTCCTGCTGCCATCAGGCCACCCTTAGAAAACACAAAAACTATTACTGTTTTTATTTAACATAATCTAAACAGTTCTCACCTAGTCTATTTGAGTAAAAGGGAAAATGGTTTAAGTCACTCTAGAAAAATTGCATTGACATCCAGAGGCCACAAGAAAACACTCTTTTCTTAAACAAACGAGCCCCGGCTGAGACCTCCCTCCATTACCTGGTCTGGCAGTTCATCTCGGAAACTGATGCTCGCTCAGTAAAGGCCTCTGAGGAAGACGGCAAGTTCAAGGCCTGAGTGGGCTACAGAGAGTTCAGGGATAGGCTGGGTGACTGAGCCAGACCCTGTCTCAAAGCCAAACAGTGAAAGAGAACTGGGATATAGCTCAGTGGTAGAGCACGTTCCCAGCATTCTCAGCCACTCTTAGTGGCTCCTGTCCTGTCCGTCTCTTAGCTTGCTTCTATAAAACCCTGAGAGTGCACAGAAACAGAGCTAGTATCGTATCGATGTGGGATGGGGCGAGGCAAGCTCTACGCCCTGCTTCCATTAGGGTGATAGCATTGAGTACTTCGTTTATTTCAAAGAGAAAAGGTTTGCTTTTGTTTTTGTTTGGCTCCACCAAAAGAAAAAAGGAAAAACAAAGATTTTTATAAAAGTATACCACAAGGTATTTTCTGTAGATACACTTACTTGATTCTGTTTCTGGAAACGAACTAACTGTTTTCTAACATTTTATGTGAGCGGTGGATGCAGTTGGATGTAATCTCACACTGGTAGCCGATGATTGGAATGCTTGTTGGGTCTACAAAGCAGAGAAGCCAGTGTGGATGCCGGATTCACTGTGGTCCAGGAAGTGCTGTTTGTGTTAGTGGGAGTGACGTTTGTGCAGCTAAGCCAATATTTTGACTTAAACAAGAAAAAAGCATCCATTTTGCATTAAAAAACAACAACAGTGTCCTCCTTTAAATGGTGATGGGCTAACATGTAAGATATTCTTTAGCTTTAATTATTTTTTTAATTTTATTCAATCTAGAGAGCACTTTCTATAGCAATAAATAAACAAGAATATGCAAAGATATTTAAAATTGTATTTATATACCAAGAGTACATTTTAAACATTTTTAAATATTTGAGCAGTTGGGTGACTGGCTTCAAGAGATGCCAAAAATTCAGCATTCGATACTTTGAATACATCTGCTTTGTGCTGGTTTACGCTGCCGGGTGGAGTCCTGTGTGTTCCCAGCACAGCTGATGTTTATGGATTACCCCTCTCTTCTCTTCCTTAGAAGGACTGGGGATCTGGGACAAGCTCACTGTCCACAACACTAATGATGGATAGCTTCTTGGTGTGACGAGTCAGTTGTAAAGGAAAAATTTCACTGTTTTCAGTGTCAATGTATTTTTAACTGTCTGGTTTGTACTTTTTATGAATTTTGTACTACCAAAGCAGAGTTAAAAATAAAAGCGTTAAACCAGTGGGCTTGAATGAGCTACATCTTAAGTCTTGTTGAGAGATCATTGGTCTGGTCTTCATGGAATTTCCTCTTTCATAGCACCTCTAACCCCAAGCTGTTTTTTCTTTCTTAATTTGAGGGTAATTTTGAACATGGTAAGGACATATAGTGTGGAACCTGTGTGTACCCTTCACTCTGCTAGCCTTCATGTTTACCAACATCTTATGTCTCATAGGAACATGATCAGGGTTAAGAAATCATTATAGGTTCAAACTGATAAAAAAACGGAACTCAGGGTGGGGCTTCCCACTTTGCCCTATTATTCTCCATTGCATTAAGACTGCCCACTAGCCTAGTTTCACGATCATGACACTTTATAGTAAGCTGCTCAGCTGTGTGTGGTGCCTTCAGCTTGACTGGGTAGCTGATTCTCATGGATAGACTGAGCTTTTGCATCGGGAAGGACAGTGCCTGGATGATGTGTTTTTCTCTGTGCTTCACATCAGAGACTATGTAGTTGACACGTACCACTTTGTGATTTCCAGTCATTTGGTTGACGTGTCCAGCAAGTTTCACTATGGAAAAGTTATTTTTTTTTTATGTCTGTAATGAAGAGGAGATACTTGGGAGATTAGGCCAGTAACTTACCTCTGCTTACATTTTCATCTGGTAGTTTTATCGTGCATTGGAGTTGGCTCCTCCAGGACTCCCATTGACAGGGTACCAAGAGCTTGGTGACACTAAAGCAGCAGAAAGCTATTTCAGGTCAGGAGGTTAGAACCTGGAACCAAATTTTCTCCAGGGTTAGGTCCATTGGATGCTCTGAGGGAGGAAGTTCACGCCTCCTTCCTAACTTAAAGTGGTTGCTAGAAAGTTCTTAACTTTCCTCGGTTTGAGGTTGGATCACTGAAGATCTGTGTCTTGAGCGGTCTTCCTCTGGGTGTCTGCCCTTTCCCTCCGTATAAGGCCCTTGGGCTTAGGGCACACTGCAATCCATCTAGGAACTCTTCTTGATTACATTTGTGAAGATCCTGCTTCCAAGTAGGGTCATATGAGCCCTGCTCCAGAAATTGGGATTTCAGTATTAACATGTTTTTTTTGGGGGGGGTTCGGTGGGGCAGGGGAGCAGGGCTCTGTCCTTAGGGAATGGTGTCTGTAATGAAAGTTCTTAAGGTTGGTGTCTTTGCCCCCTGAGATGACTCCCTCATTTTTCCTTTCCCTGTTTGCCTCCCTCCCTCTTATTTCTAACCCTTTATTATTTTCTGGCCCCAGAAGATGCTCTGGGTCCTTCTTTTCATGTTTCTTGCCCCAGTCTTGGGACCAACTGCTTCTCCAAGGATCCAAGGAGAATCAAATGAGAAGTCATTTTACAAGAGGATTTTTTTTTTTGTAAATGAAAATAAGGCTACAGGACTTGCTCACTGGTGCTGGGTGTCCCAGCCTCGACTCTCTGTGTGGTATCCCATGCCTGTGTATACATCATTGTGTGGCTGTGTGTTAAGAGCCCGAGTCCACATGAAGCCCCTGACTCCAGACTTGCTCTGTAGCATTCATGTTAACCTATTTTCAACTTTGCAGGACACGAGGCTGTTACTATACAATATTCAATGCAGGCATACATAGTTGGAAACTACTTTGGGAGAGCCACCTTTATTAACAAAGTGCAATGAAGTAGGCTCAGCTTTTTCCTTTTGGACTTCGTGCCTGTCCACCCAGTGTGGCTATAGGATTCATTTGGAGCACAGAGAGGCGTTTGTCACTCACTGCCCACACTCCTGCTCTCCTTTCTATGCAGGCTAGAAGTTTCAAATGACTATTCAGTAAACTTCACTTTTTGTGGAGTTGAGTAATTTTGATTTGGAATGTGGGAAGATGTATTATCGCATAGGCTGGGCAAATAGAAAGGCTGACATAATTTTCTCCATGAAGACCCAGAAGCCTAAACTGTACAAGGTTACTTGGGGGGGGGCATATTCTGTTTTTAATCAGCCTCTTTTTTATGTGTGTGATGCAGATTAGAGATGCCAGTATATTGTTTAGCTTTTATGTTTGTCAGTGTTGGGAATGTGGCAACCCATGGCCAGCCTGGACTTCCTAGTCAGTGCACTCGGAGCCTGGGCTCCCAGAACATCGTGGCTGCAGAGAGGGATTGTTCATGGTTTGAAAACTATGCATTCCCTTCTCAAGCCTGTCTTGCTGGCCAGCCTTGCTCTGTCCAAAATGTACAGTCCAAAATGGAATAGGTTGGTTGCTTAGAAGTGGGATTCCCCACAACGTGGAGGTTTGCAGCAAATGTTTGCCTCTTGCACAGGACTGACACTTTGCCCCCCTCTTCTGGTTGGATGTGGGAACTGCAGGGAGGGTGGTCTGGCCATTTGTTGGTGTGTCTTTTAAGCATTGGTGTGCAGAGCCCCCACGATGTATTTGCAGAACAAATAAACCTTAAAAAAATATAACAACAATCAAATAAGAATAAAAGACCACATTTGTTTTTTTCCCCTGATCTGTTTTTCTGATCTTGTCAATTGTTTTTCCCACCAAAATACTTCCTTATCTTACATGGACACCTGTGTTCCTGAAGGCACTGTATTGGATGAAGGCAGGAATGACTGTCACATTCTGGAGGAAACCCCAGGCCCTAAGTCCTGTCATGGAAATGGTGTGATTGTTGTAAATGATTGGAACTTGGAGAGGCTGCCTGACATTTGCTGTAGAGTTGAGCCTTAGCTCCACCACTCAATGCTGTGTGCTGGGGACCATGCTCATGGCTTCTCAGGGGCTCCGAATTTTCCTGAGCCCCTGCTCAGGATTTACTTATTTACTTTTGTATGTGTGGTATGCCTGTGCGTCATGCATGTGTGTGTGTGGGGGGGGGATGAGTGTGTGCTTGCATATGTTAATAATGTTGAGACTCTTTAGTCTCTCTTCACTTCATTGAGCCAGGATCCCTTGCTAACCCCAGAGATCACTGACTTGACTAGCCTCGCCAGCCAGCTTGCTGTAGGGATCCACTCACAGGTTTTTGAGGATTAGAAAACGCTTGCAAAATCAACCTCCAGAGGGCACTCCTTTTTAGTGGCTGTTGGTGAGTTTTGTGCGGCTATAAATAAAATACCCGGGGCAGAATACTTTAAAAGGAGAAAAGGCTTACTTAGCCCCAAGTTTGGGGTGCTGGTGAAAACTCTAAGCTCGGCAGCCACATTTAGGGAAGTCCTTAATGTTCACTGTAACGCGGCAGGCGCACCAGTGAGGAGGGTTGTGAGTGCTGAAGGAAGACGGAGAGAAGAGGCCAAACTCTGGGCTGACCTTGCTATATCGTCTGCTCTCGGGGTAACTAGTGCAGCCTCACAAGACCCAATTAATTTATTAATTCTGTCTTGAGACCTAATACGGTTACTTGAGAAAGAAATAGTCTCATCATGAGGGTTGAGCCTGCATAACCTAATGATCTCCTACGGTCCCACGAGTCCCCTGAGCATGACTACACTGCAAATCATTTTTGTTGTTTTGGTGGAAACAAATCCTAGCCAAACCACTAGACTTGGTAGTGGGGTTGTGCACATCTGTCTATGGGGCAAGTACACCCAGCCAGTAAGTCTGCTATTCTGAAGTGAGCCATGTTAGAGCTCATGGACCTTGTAGGAGAGCCAAGGAAGGCACTAAGCTTGGAAGATGCTGAAACCCAGGGATGCAATGAGGAGCTTGTAGTGGGATACCCAGGCTTCATCAACTGTGCACTTGTCCCTTTGGAGACTCTTAGTTCTTCCTTTGGACTCAGGGGGTACCCTGTTCCTCGTCCCATAACAGCTACCTAACTTCCCCCCTGGCCTAAAGAAGCCCCTCTGTGGGATATTTACAAACTGGAGCTAAAGCTGTGGCCTAAGGGGCTGTGAGAGACCACTGGGTGTGAGGACCAGAAGGAAGAATGCAGAGGGAAGACAGGGACCTCAGACTTCCTGAGGAGTGGTGTCTGGGTTTCAAGAACATTTCGAGGACGCATCTCTTTGCTTTATGTAGTTTGAGCTCTTGTGAATTGTAACCATAAGCATACAAACAATGGACCTCAAAATAGCAATGGAGTTATTCATTGAAATATGATGGTTTGAATAATGGCACATAGGCTCTATGTTTGAATGCTTAGGGAGTAGCACTACTTGTTGGAGTAGATGTGGGCTTGCTGAAGAAAGTGTGTCACTGTGGTTGCACTTTGAGGCTTCCGTAGCTCAAGCCGGGCCCAGTGTCTCTCTCCTGCTGCCTGTTGATATGGATGTAGAACTCTCAGCTCCTTCTCCACCATCATGTCTGCCAGTACCCTGCCATGCTACCCATGCTGATAATAGACTAACCCTCTGAACTGTAAGAGAACTCCAATTAAATGTTCTCCTTTACTAGAGTTGCCGTGGTCATGATGTCTCTTCACAGCATTGACTAAGATAATGAGTGACGAATGCAGTTACCTGCTGAAAGGGAGATGGCTGAGGAGTCCCAGATCCACGTACCTTGCAAAGCCTTTGTAGTAAGCACAGCAGCTCAGACTCCAGAGCTGCCTCCATCTCCAGGAGTCATGGTCAAACACAGTTCTTTCAAACTGAATAACTCTCCCCGACTTTGCCTTAGCAGAATCCCTCTATGCTCTCTCTCCTTGACCTAGCACAAGTCTCATTCCTACAGATTCAGTAAGAGCCAGGGTTGGGCTCTTTGGATGGTGTTTTTAGCATTACCTGAGCTTCGGTGTGTCATGTATCAGGGCCAGATAGAGCTGGAACTCAACTTGCTTGATACCAAAACTCAACAATTTAGATTCTCACCTTCTTTCTTGGGACTAAATTCTGAGTGTGGCCAGTTGATGTTTCTTTCCCTATCACAATGCTTTGCCTTTGAAGACAACTGGGGTCTTGAGGGGAAGGCTAACCGAAGGCAAGACTCCAGTCCTACTGGGCCTGAGTCTTCTGGTGCAGGTCACACACCTGATTGAGTAAATAATTGTCTTTCCCTGAGCTTGAATAGACTCATAAGTATGAT